TGGCATGAACCCCCACCCCCAACAATTATGCTGATATACTAGTATATTTACTATAGAAAGTACAGTGTATAGTTCCAATATGCTTATGCCACCACAATGGTAAACTCTGATAACTTTATTTAGCTTATCAAGGAATATTTGGTAGTTTGTTGGACCCCTGTACCACAGGGTCTTGCTTCTGGCGTGTTATAATTATTTACTTAAACATCCTATACGGTAGAGTTTTATTATTACCTGATATTATAAGTCTCCGACCCCTGAAACCGGAGTTGACTATAGGTTTCCTCTGTGTCTATCCTTCATGTGTTTGTCCCCATGTCTGTCTGTGAGTTTGTCCTTCTTGTTTTTTTGCATTTTTTTTCTAAAAGCTTGCAGATAATGAGCTGAATTTTAATATGCGAGTGTATCTTGATGAGTTGCAGATCAAGTTTGAATGTAATTTCGCTTCATTGATTTTAGACACAATTATGGCATTTTTCATTTTAGCTCACCTGAGTTGAATGCTCAAGTGAGCTTTTCTGATCACATTTTGTTCGTTATCTGTCTGTAAACTTTTCACATTTTTGACTTCTTCCCAAGAACTACCGGGCCAATTTTAACCAAACTTGGTACAAAGCATCTTTGAGTAAAAGGAAATCAAAATCAAGGGCCAAGTCCCTTCACAAGGGGAGATAATTCAGAAAAGACAAAAATAGGGTGGGGTCATTGAAAAACTTTTATTATAGAGAACCACAGGACCAGAAAAGCTCAAATTTATGTGGAAGCATCCTGGTGTAGGGTAGATTCTACATTGTGCATATCATAACTCCCCAGGGGTATGGTGACGCCAGAGTAGGGAATCGAAAGTTTTACATAGAAATATATAGGAAAAAACTTTAAAAGTCTTCATCTCAAGAACTGTGATAGAGAAACTCAAACTTATGTGTCAACATCCTGGGTTAGTGTAGATTTTAAAATGTTCAAATCATGAACCCCAAGGGTAATGCGAGACCACAATAGGGAATAAAAGTTTTACATAGAAATATATAGGAGAAAACTTTAAAAAACTTCTTTTAAAGAAATTGGGCCAGAGAGCTGAAAATTGTTTAAAAGCATCCTGGGGTAGTGTAGATTCTAAATTGTTCAAATCAAGACCCCCAGGGGTGGAGCAAGGCCACAACAGGGAACCAAAGTTTTTCATTGAAGTATATAGGAAAAAAATATTTAAATATATTTATTTTGGGTAGTACTGGGCTAGAAAAGTTGAAACTTATGCGAAAGCATGACAGAATAGTGTAAATTTTAAATTGCCTAATGAACTACATGGTCAAAGCTGTTCAGGTAAACAATGTGGCCCGTGGGCCTCTTGTCTTCAAGATTATTAGCCAAAGGCTCAAAGAGCTAATGCTATGGCCATTTGTGCGGTGTGCAGTGTGCGGAAACTTTTTAGCTCACCTAAGCCAAAGGCTCATGTGAGCTTTTCTGATCAAAATTTGTCCGTCGTCCATTGTCGTTGGCGTCGTTGTCATCATTGTAAACTTTTTACATTTTCATCTTTTTCTCAAGAACCACTGGGCCAATTTCAACCAAACTTGCCACAAAGTATCCATTGGTGAAGGGGATTCGAGTTTGTTCAAATGAAGGGCCACGCCCATATTCAAGAGAAGATCATTCAAAAATAGTGAAAATTAGGTGGCATATTTAAAAAATCTTCTTCTCAAGAGCCACTGTGCCAGGAAACTTGAAACTTATAGAGAACCATCTTCAGGTTGTGTAGATTTGTTCAAATCATGTCCCATGGGATAAGGGCAGGGTCACAATGACCGATCAAAGTTTTACATAGAAATATATAGGAAAATTCTTTAAAAATCTTCTTCTCAAGAACCACTGTGCCAGGAAAGATGAAATGTATATGGAAGCATCCTCAGATAGCATAGATTGAAGTTTGTTCAAATCATGACCCCTGGTGGGTGAACTACTTTAATTTAAATATTTCAAATACTCGTTGGCCTAGAATTTTTAATTTTTGTTTAATAATACATCTTAAGTCCCCAGAAAACTTAAATCTAAAAGTAGGTCACTGTGACGTACTTGTGGTTTTTTTTAATATCTTTATTAAAATATCTTCAGTCCTAATTGGCTAAGAATCATCAAACTTTGACAGTTGATGCAACTTGGGTCTTAGGATACTTAAGGTTAGAGGCTTCACATATAAAAGATGGGTTGAAGAGCAATTCAAGGCCTTTGAGGCCCTTGTTTGTCATAATTTTTTAATCATTGTGGAGCATTGTAGCTGCAGAATTATAGCTCTCAAAAAAATATATTGACACCGAAGAGCTTCAGTGCAAATCCTTGAAAAAACTGTATTTATTATGCTAAAAAAAGATCTGCTTGATTCTGGATTAATTCTTCCAAATTCTTTCCTCAATTGCAAAAAAGCTTGATTTTAAAAAAGTTCTTACTTCTTTATCAATTTCTCTAGCAGTTTATTGACATCTGTACAAAGAACATTGGAATTCTCTTACAAATTAAAATGGCAGTATAAAAAGGCAAAATTTTAGATGATTTCAAATTCAGGGCCAGGAGGGTATTAAAAACAATTATAAGGAATGCCTTGCCAAACACGACAAGGTCAATAATCTTTTAAAACTTGACTGAACACGGATATAGCGAAACTGATATAGCGAAGTTTTTTAGGGTCCCAGGCTATTTTCATAACTTTTGTAAAATTTTACGGTTATACGAACTCAGATATAGTGAATTTACGGATATAGCGAACTGATTTTAAGTTCTTTCAAATAAAATGGTCAATGAAATTGTACATCTTTTAGAAATAGATTTTTTGAACTTTGTTGCTCTCAAGGATCTCAAAATTTGATGAATTGAACTGAATTTATTTTATTTTAGAATGTATATAAAATTTCAATGCAAAATAAAACCTTGGTTATCGAAGGATTTTTAAATTGAATAAAAACTTTAACATTTTGGATAAAACTCGCAGTAAAACATGTATATAAATTTCGCTGACATATAAAAAAAAGTATATACCATCAACAAAATAAGCGAATTAATTTTACAGGTTGACTTCGCTATAACCGGTTAGTAATGTTTAATGTGACAGTTCTAATAACACATGTAATGAGAAACGGAAATTGATTTTAAAAAAAGGTTTCTTTCTACTTTTGGTAAATAAATTTTTTCAGGAGGGGGCAATTTCAATGAGGCGAAGCTTCATGCTTAGGCAATTCCAACAAACTATAATTTTTTTAAACATGATTATTTGAGAGAACTTCAAATATTTTTGCATAAGATCATATAAGCCTATAACCACAATTTGTTAAATTTTTTACTTGTTAATCAAGAGTTAATAACTATAGATGCCTAAGAGAAAAAAAAATGATGGTAGACTTTTCAAGAAAGACAAATTACGGAAAAGGCAATTTTAAGACAGTAAGTGTCAGGTCCACAAAAGATTTTGCAGATGAGCCTGTGGCAGATTCCTTTGTTCCTTGGGATTGGAGCTGTGTATTTTTAAATATTAGGCTTTGGGGTTGCCGCCATTAGGAAAAACCCCTGGCCAGGGTGCAGGCCTCACCTCGAGTAAAATGCACAAATGCCCCGAGGTTGTCATCTCCTCGGGGAAGTCGTCTGATGTCCATTTCAGGCACTTCCCCTGACTCCCCAGCGTGGGTTTGTACTCCAGCGAGAGTACCTAACGATGATGGCTTTGAGCCTAGCCCAGCAGGTCAGACGCAGCTGGATACCTCTAGGTTGGAGGAGACTTAAGTTTTGAAATGAATTTGATGGAAAATAATTAAAACTACATGTATATAACCTTTATATTGCATAATGAAATAATTCAATATATAATATGAAAGGCAAAAGAATGAAATTGTGATTATGAAACACAAAAATTAGAAAATGCATTGCATAAATTAAATCAACTTGAATATAAATTGCAAAGAATGTACATATGTCCAAAGATACAATCTATATTGTGTCAATGGAAAAATGAAGGTGATGATGTTGTACCCACTGTGTAATGGAGAATGAAAATGTTTCATTTTGGAAGAAATTTTGTTAGATATGAAAAATTTTTCATTAAGACAAAATTTAAAAAATTTTCATGTTGACATATATATGATTCAACATTGCTATATTATTAAGACTTAAAATTTCACTTATATCATCTAATGTTACTGGCTTTGTTTGCTTTATTATAGCATTTAATTGTTAAAAGTGATGAATAAGTTTTTTTTTTTTAGATGCCTAAGAGAAAAAAAATTGTTGGTAGGAAACAAAGAGAGAAAGAATGCTTCGATCGATCTTATGAACGACAGCAACAAATCCTCCAAGATGTTTCATCAGAAGAGTCTAAGGCAGAGTCCTTTGTTCCATGTGGGTTTGAAGAGCTGTTACAGCTCCTACAGGGACTGTAATCTTTTGTTGGCTTTGGGGTTGCCCCCTTAGTGAGGAGGAGGGTGCAGGCCTCACCTCGAGTGAAAATGCACCCAAATGCCCTGAGGTTGTCATCTCCTCGGGGAAGGCGTCTGGAGTCCCAAAACGGGGAGCAGTTTTCTTTTTAATTACTTCTGTGTCCCAGCGTGGGTTAGACTCCAGCGAAGACCTTTTAGTGTGTTTTAGTAGCCCAGCAGGTCAGAGAGCTGGAGGAATCTAGGTTAATGTTTTTGGAGCAGGTTAACATTTTTGGTGATGTGGGTATAAATTTCCAAGTACTAAAGCAGTTTTTTGACCAAACTTGCATGGAAATTCAAAGAATGTAAAAGAGGATCTTAAGACGGAAAAAAATGATGTTGTTAATGTAACACAAAAGAATGAGATTGTAACTGACAAAGATAAAGCCCTATGTTGACCAAACTTGCATGGATGATACACTAAGGATCATCTACCGGGCTTGCTTCGGAGAATACATATGAAAGAGAAAAGAATTTGGTGCAGGTTTCCTAGCTGGATTATCATATCATAAAGTGATAAGCTGTAAGTACTGGAGACCAAGGGACATGGACAAAATATTGGTAACAGGTGATGAGTTGTACACTTACCTGCAGAGAAGTACATCAATAACAAACAGGTACCTGCTTGTAGAAGAATTACCACAAATGTTTGAGTGTTTTGATAAATCGTATGAATTTCAATCCCACAGAACAGTAACTAGTGTTATTTTATCAGAAGAAGGGTTTAACTACTCTGAGTTTGGTGCATATTGTTTAAATGAAGCATTGGAGCTTACTCTCACAGAGACTGATGGCTGTTTTTTATGCTTTGGGGGAAACACTTTGCTCATTGGAAAAGCAGATGATTGTTTTTTTACTTTTGATTCGCATTCAAGGTCTTGTGAAGGCTTATTAAGTGTCAGTGGTAAGAGTACAAGAGTACTATTTAGGAGTCCAGATCAAATATGCATTTATTTGCAGGCCCTTGCAAGGTCCATGGGATACACAACAAATGTTGAATGTAATTTAACTGGAGTACAATGCAGTATGAAATGTGTTGACACTGGATCTGATTTTGAGCAGAAAAGTGAAGATAACAGTTTCTTTACAGAAGGGGCCATTAAGAGCTCATCACAAAGTACAAGTATTGATACAGGAATTGAAAATGAGGATTTGATTTTTGTTTCAAGTAGACATGAAAAACTGAGTTTTGCTCCACTTCTTTCTGAAATGAAGAGAGACATATGTAGGGATTTAAATATTCCTTTCTTTTGTGTTGGAAAAAGCATTCAAAATCAATATCTTCTGAAGGAATTGAAGAAACCTTGTTCTAAGCACAAAATCATTGGAGATGGTAATTGTTTGTTCAGGGCAATATCTTTCAGCTTAACAAACACGGAGGAATGTCATTACAATATACGTAATGTAACATGTCAACATTTGCTCGAAAATGAAGAATTATTCTTACCATTTTTAAGGCCTGGTGTAAAATCTGTAAAAGATCACGTGTTTACAATGGCACGAAATGGAACCTGGGCAACAGAAATAGAGATTATTGCTATGTGTCATCTTCTAGGTGTTGACATTTACACATTTTCTGATAATAATTGGTTGAAATACTCAGCAGAGAGACTTGGTCTAAGTTCAACCAAAAGAAGATCAGGCGCCATTTTTTTGTGTCACAATCAGGGGAATCACTATGATGTTGTTCTTGATGTTTGTGGACAGGATTTTGAATCAACAGATGAAGTGATGCTGCAAAGCAGACCGTTCAACTTGAGTTATGCTAAGAGAAAGCAAAACCGTGAACGAATGCAAGCAAGAAGACCTATTCGATCAAAGATAAAAATCAAAGAGAGTACAGTTGAAACACGAAAACAGTCATTAAGGAAGAAGTATCAAGAAGACTCAGACTATAGACAGAAAAAGCTAAACAAAGCATATGTAAAGTACAGAGAGGATAAGGAATTCCAAGATCTTGTTAGGACACGCAATAAAGAGAGATATGAAAAAGACCTTATGTACAAAGTAAAAACAAAGACAAGACGCAAGGATAATTATGCAGCTAATGAAGAAAACAGAAAGAAAACAAGAGAGGCCAGTGTAAAAAAATATGCAACAAATGAAGCCCACAGAGAGGATGTTAAAAGAAGAAGTATTAAAAAATACCACACAGACAAAATGCACAGGGATAATGTAAAAATGAGAAGCATAGAGAAGTATCGAACTGATGATGAACATAGAGTGGATGTTAAAGGTAGAAGCATAAGAAAATACAGAACAAACAGTGAACACAGGGATGTGGTAATGATGAGAAGTAAGGAAAAATATAAAACTAATGAACGACACAGGGAAAATGTAAAACAAAGAGCTGTTGAAAAATATAATAGCGATGAACAGTACAGAAAGAAAATGAATAGTGCTGGAACAACTCGGTATAAAACAAATAAGAACTTCAGAGAAAGAGTTCTCGCTTCAAGGGCAAAAAGGTACACTTTAGACAATACGTTTAGGTCGAATGTCAAGTCTTGCAGTAAATTGTTGTATGACACTAGCTCTGATGTAAAAATGAGAAAGAAAAAATCAGTCAGAATGCAGAGAGCTGCAAAGCGATCAAAATTGCAGAATGAAAACGAAGTAGTGGAATTATTTAGACAAAACGCATCTCAGGGCATTGATTACACGTGCTGCTGCTGCAACCGGTTGTTATTTGTTAATCAAGTACTACGATGTGACCGTCAGCTGTATCAGAGGAATGAACGTGCATCACATGTTGCAGAGCTATGTATACAAGAAAATAGTTTGCATCAGTGTTCGAGCTCGTGTCCCAAGAATTGCACGAAATCAACGCTTTGGATTTGCTATACATGTCATAGGAAAATCCACAGTGGAAATATACCAGCAGAGGCAACAGTCAATAATATGTTCCTCGAAAATATTCCAGTCGAACTAAGTGATTTGAACAGTTTAGAACAACATCTCATCGCCCTACACATTCCATTTATGAAGATTATGGCTCTTCCAAAGGGAGGTCAAAGAAATGTGCATGGGCCTGTTGTGTGTGTGCCATCAGATTTGAAAAAGACCACAAGCTTACCATTGAGGCATGGTGATGATTTATTGTTGAGAGTGAAATTGAAAAGAAAGTTAAGTTATCGTGGATATTTCGAATACCAGTTTGTAAACCCAAACCATGTTTTTACAGCCCTAACATACTTAAAAACAAACAATCACTGGTACAAAGATGTAAAAATAGATACAAACTGGAGAGAAGACCCTATAGATGAAGAGGAATTCAATGACGACAGACAGGATCGTGAAATTCCAGAAGATGATGAATGTGATGAACATCAAGTTGCAATTGATACTTGCCTACAACCAGTGGATATTGCTCAGGAAGTACTTGATCATTATTTTGATGATATATACAATATTGCACCAAGTGAAGGAAAAAATCCAGTACGAATGTTGCAAGAACCAGGCAATGAAGCTAAAACGTTTCCTTGCCATTTTCCAAGTGGAAAGTTTTCATGGAATGAGGAGAGAACAACGCAAATTACATTATCAAGATATTTCAACAACAGGCTCATGAATGCGGATAATAGATTTGCAAAGGATAGCAATTACATCTTCTTTAGTCAGTACATGTCAGAATTGAATCAAGTTATACAGAAAACTCAAATTTCAGTACGAAAATCCATTTCAAAAGGAACCGAAAAGCCAGTCACATCAAACATGGTTCAAGACCCAGAAATTCTTTGTCGGTTATTGAGAAATGATGAAGCACTAAGGTTTATGCAGCCAATTCGTGGAACACCAGCATATTGGTCAGCTGCTCAGAAGGATCTATTTGCTATGCTTCGCCAGTTAGGAATACCTACTTGGTTTTGTTCTTTTTCTGCAGCTGAGCATAGATGGAATGATGCAATTAGGACAATTCTGAAGCAACAGAACGATGATAGAGATCCACTTCTGTTGGACTGGTCGGAAAAGAACGAAACCTTAAGATGTAACCCTGTAACCGTTGCTAGGATGTTCGAACACAGATTCCATGTTTTTCATAGAGATGTAGTTTGTTCTCCATCAGAACCAATTGGAAAAATTGTTGATTTTTTTCAAAGAGTCGAATTCCAGCAAAGAGGTTCACCTCACATGCATTGCTTATACTGGGTTGAAAATGCCCCCAAACTTGATGAACATGGAGAGAAAGCTGTTTGCGATTTCATCGACAAGTATGTTACTTGTGAAGTGCCTTCTGAGGAGGATGATCCAGACTTGCGAGATACTGTCTTATCAGTACAACAGCACAGTAAAAAACACTCTAAATCATGTAGAAAGAAAGGTACAGAGTGCAGGTTTAACTTTCCAAGGCCGCCCTCTCAGTGCACATTTATTAGTTCACCGGTTGATGAACATGACACAGAGAACGTTGAAGAAGACGCACAATCTAAACTACGTAAATCTCATGCAAAAGACATTTTAATAAGTGTTTGGAACGAAGTCCAAAATGAGACAAGTGAGTTAAAATCAACAGAGGACATTTTCAGTAATCTTTCTCTGACTCAAGAAGACTATGAAGAAGCACACAATATCCTAGCTAAAAAGAAAACCATTATGCTCAGAAGAAATCCTGGTGAACTATGGACTAACCAATATAACCCATGCCTCTTGAAATGTTGGGATGCTAATATGGATATCCAGTTTGTGTTAGATCCTTTTAGTTGCATAGTGTATATAATCTCATACATATCTAAGTCTGAGAGAGAAATGGGTATGCTTCTCAAACAAACAAAAATAGAAGCGGAAGAAGGAAATCTCAATGCACATCAAACATTGAAAAAAGTTGGATCTGCTTATTTGCACCACAGAGAGGTCAGTGCACAAGAGGCGGTTTACCGCGTTTGCAATTTAAAAATGAAGGAATGTTCAAGAAAAGTCGTTTTTTTGCCCATAGGAGAAAATCCTACACGACTTAGTAAACCGCTTTCTCAACTAAAAAAGCAAAAAACAGAGAACTGCGAAAATAATGATGAAGATGATGATGATGACAATATTTGGATGACAAACATAGTAGAGAGATATGAACATCGACCAAACAAACCTCTTTTTCACAGCATGTGTATGGCAGAATTTTGTTCAGAATACAGAGTACTAGCAAGGTCTCAGATTCCGAAAACTGAGAACAAAAATGTATACGAGTTGCAGAATTCCAAGGGCTACATCCAGAGAAGAACACGCACAATGCCAGCTGTGATAAGATACCCAAGGTTCAGCGTTGAGAAAACATCTGAAAAATATTACCAGTCACTTCTCCAGCTTTTCCTGCCGCACAGGAATGACGAACAGTTGAAACCACCTGGGTTTGATTTATATGAGACATTTTATGAGAATGGTCACATTAAAATGAAAGGTAACCAAAGGGTTCAGTCTGTCAAATCAGTGGTAAACAAAAACCATGCACGGTATGCAAAAAATGAGGATGTTATGACAGAGGCGATCGAAATGTTTGAAAATATTGGTGAACCTGAAGATGCGTGGGCAAATCTCTGCCCAGAAACAGAAGATATGCGAGAGAAATGTGCTGCAAAGAGAAAAGACGTAAGTCGGTTACAAGAAGATGAAGATGGAATCCCAGACATGCAAAATGAAACAAATTCTGATGTGCTATATCATATTCAGCAGAACAACATTTCTAGGGAAGAAATCTTACCAATTTTGCAAACTTTAAATGAAAAACAGAAAGACGTTTTTTACCTTGTAAGAAACTGGTGTCTAGCAAAAAAGTTTGGAGAGAAAGTGGACCCATTACACATTTTCATAACAGGTGGTGCCGGTACAGGAAAGAGTCATGTTGTCAAGGCAATACATTACGAAGCATCCCGATTATTTGCTCCAATTTTATCTTCACCCGATAGTGTACCAGTACTTCTTACAGCCTTCACAGGTACTGCTGCTTTCAACATTGGAGGAAGTACTCTCCATCACACATTTTCATTGACAAAATATTTGCCATTGCCGTACCAGCCATTGAAAGAGCAGAGTCTTAGTGAGTTAAGAGTACAGCTAAGAGATTTACAGATTCTAGTGATAGATGAAGTTTCGATGGTGTACAAAAAACTTCTCTTTTACATTCACGAAAGACTTGTACAAATTAAAAAGTGTAAGGAACCATTTGGTGGCGTGAGTGTTATTGCTGTTGGCGACTTTTATCAGCTTCCCCCTGTCAAGCAACGCAAAGACGAAAGATTGTATGCGAAGAACACATCATATCCCGTGGATTACTGGAGGGACTTCTTCAAAATCATTGAACTAAATGAAGTTATGAGACAACGTCAAGATGTACCTTTCGCAACTGCCTTGAATTGTTTGCGGATAAGAGAACAAGATCAGCAGCTAGCAAGGGAAACAAATTTGATTATAAATGAATGTATTAGGGAAGGAGCAGAAGATGTTCTCCATGTGTATTCCACAAATGAAGAAGTAAACAATTATAACCTTGCAATGTTAAGAAAAAGCTGTAAAGATTTGGTTGAGATTGAAGCAAAGGATTTTCAGAAAAATGCAGCAACAGGAAATCTGACATTGAGAGAAAAACCCCTGAAAGGATCAAAAAATGATAGCCTTTGCAGCTCTTTGCTCCTTGCTGTAAATGCAAGAGTAATGCTGACAAGAAATTGTGATGTAAAAGATGGACTTGTCAATGGTGTTGTTGGAGTGATATCACATTTTGTGTTTGAACAGAACACTTCCAGTATTGATAGCATTGGAGTGATTTTTGACAACAAGAATGTTGGAAAACAATCAGGTAAAAGAACAAAAAAGGGAAATCTTGTTTTACTGAATAGAGTCCAAGAAGAAATGATTGAAAAGAAGTCGAAAGCAATGGTGAGACATCAGTTTCCTTTGCGATTAGCATGGGCTTGTACAGCTCATAAAGTACAAGGAATGACTGTTGAAAAAGTAGTTGTCAATTTAGATCGTACATTCTCACCAGGACAAGCTTACGTTGCATTGTCAAGAGTTACCTCTCAGCAAGGTTTATTCATAGAAACTGAGCACGAAAAAACCCTATCAAAGAAGATATATGCTGATTCGGAAGTGAAAACAGCTTTAGCAGAAATGCCAAGATTATGTCTCCCAAAATGCTTCTTAAGCAAGTTACAGTGCAACACAATTGTTCTGCACAAAATGAAGATGCGAAATCTGGAGGTCCTATTCAAACATTCATAGTAACCTTGGTTTTAGACAAGTAGTCAATTTTTGCACTACAGAAAGGGGTACTATATTAGACCACGTATATGTATCTGGACCCATCCAGATAGAGGTTTTTTAAAGGGTTCCAACATATTATAGCTACCATGATGCTGTGGTTTTTTTAAAATTTTAACCTGGAAGTAGGTGTTTTCCTTCAAACTAGTAAAGTACAAGTTTGAAAGGTCCAGGATTTTTGTTTTCATCATTTCTCTGGAGTGAGGGAGAGATATAGATAAGAGTTTTTTTAAATGTGTAAAAAGTATCTTAAAATATGTATTTCTTTGACAATTTTACATACTGAAAAGTTTAAGGTTTTCTTAAAATCATTTTCTACGGATGGAAAAACCGAAATATAATAAAATGCATTCTGTATACATAATTGCTCAAATGGAAAAGAAATCTAACAAAATACTTGCAAAATATCTTCAAAACTCTTCCAAATCCTACTTTTATATTTTCTTAGGGACGTTTGAAAGTGTTACATTTAAAAAAACCCAATGCAAGACTTTACAGGGTGGGGTGGCATGGTATTTTGTAAATGTTTTTCAATGTTGGTGTTTCATTAATGTTTCTATACGTTCTGCAGAATGAAATTGCATTTTGAAAGTATTCCGTTACACTTGTCTGCACCAAAGTAATATGTGGTTAGCATTTCATTTGATTTGCAGACATGTTTAGGGTTGAAATATCTAAGAGCAGTGAAAGCTTATCTTCCAAAAACAACTTATCTATTTACATCCTGTGTTAGACTAGTATTTGCGCCAATTTTCAAACCACCAGCACTAGGTCAGAGAGAAACAAAAAGATTGGTGAAGGGACATGCAAAGTGTTAGTACATATATTGATCCCTGATTGGAAAAAGCAAATTCAGGATGATTTGGATATAAAATACGTATATTTATTGCATGACATAAAGATCCTTTTTACTGGACTACACTGTAACCTTCAATCTGTGAATGTGGATGTGTATATCCCCCTTTTTTTTTTGGGTTAGTAAAATAGTCTAATGACCTTTAATCCATATACTAAACTTAAACATTTTTTAAAATTTTGGGTTGTGATAAATTATAATTCTTGAAAATTCTATGAAAATTGTGTGTGATTGGAGAAGTGTCCAATGACTTGAGAATTATATCGCTATTGTTTATTAATTGACCAATAATGTCAATCCCAAATTCAAAAAATATGAAAAAAAAAAAGTGTATATGTTTCAAAATGAGATTTTGTTTAGATGTTTTAAAAAAATTGTGGATTTGTTAATTATAATATAAAAAATTCAAATTTAGTGTTTTTTTGATGATTTGTTACTTATGATTTGTTAGTAGTTTGTCAGAGTGTTTCGTTAGTCTCATTTGCA